AATTTTGCAAAAGTATTTCAAAACCACTATCAATTATTTTTGATTGCTCATTTTCGAGTGGCATTGTTCCACTAGTAACTTACATTAAAATCCATTAAAATGTTTATGGTTATGTGCAAATATTACCCCCCTGTTTAAAAAAGGAGATAAATTAAAAGTAACAAATTATAGGCTGACTAAAAATAGTATACTCTCTGACTCTCAACATGGTTTTGTATCATCCAAAAGTTGTTGCACAAATTTACTTGAAACATTTGACATAATAACTCAGGCACTTGAGGAAAATTTATCAGTAGATATAGCTTTTTTAAACTTTGCCAAAGCCTTTGACTCAGTTGCATATAAGAGACTATTATTAAAACTACAATCCTATGGGATCCAAGAACAATTATTATGTTGGTTTAAAAGTTTTCTAAGCAGACTTTCAATGTAGAATAATGCAAAATTATGCATATCGGCAAAAGAAATTTAAAATATAATTACTTAATGTGTAGTACATTCAATATGATTCATCAAAATGCTTTAGTTATGGAAGAAACCAGGTTAGAGAGTGATCTTGGTGTAAAATGATATCAAACGACGTCAAATGGGAAAAGTATATCAACACAATTGCGACAAGAGCTAATAGAAAGCTCGGTCAGATAAAGAAATCTTTTTGTCGATTAGATGAAATTTCAATGAAACGTTTGTACACGTCATTGGTTCGTCCACACCTAGAGTTTGTGGTGCCGGTATGGAACCCTTACTACCAAAAGGATATTGATAAAATTAAAAAAATACAACGTAGGGCTACACGAAAAAATAGTTTAAGAAGCTTTTGCTATGAAGATAGACTGAAAAAATTTAACTTGACTACTTTAAAAACAAGAAGAGAAAGAGGCGATTTGATTCAATTTTATAAAATAAGTAAAAATATGGATAAAGTTACATGGAACCATCCTACTAAAATAATTAAATATGCAATAACAAGAGGTCATACTCAGAAAATACATAAACACTTCACACATTCTACCATAAGATTTAACTTCCTTACAAACAGAATAGTTAACAATTGTAAAATTTAACAGAGGAGATAATTAATTCTAAAAATGTGAACATCTTCAAAAACAAGTTTGATCGTTTCGATAAAAACAAAATAAAAATATAAAACAAAAAAAACCAAAAAATATATATAAAATATAAAAAGAAAAAAAAAAACACTTTTGCAACGGCTGTCAAAGTTTTAACATCTACAGATGTTAAACTCACATATTGTATGTGTACAGCAAAAATTTATTATTATTTTTATTATTATTATTATTATTATCCCTAACGACTTTATATTTTTTTTCCCATTATGTCATTAATGACGGACCACGTTTTCTTACTTTCAAATTTCGATTTAATGATTTGATTACTAAAGTAATTTTTTTAGCATTTTTAATAAGATTTTGGTAAAAATATTTACATTTTTTGTAATTTTTTTAAGATCAGTGTTTTTATTTTTTAGATATTTGTTATAGAATTTTTGTTTCTTCTTTGAGCATATTATCAGCGATTTATCCATCCACGGATTAACAAATACTTTTGTCTTAATTTGTATGTCCTCTTGAAAACAGGTTTCATTAAAGCACTCTAGAAATATTTCTAAAAAATTATTGAAAGCTTTGCTAGTATCCTGACCAGAGCCGTCCTTAGAGTGGCGCGAGTGGAGCAACCGCTCTAGGCCTCGCTTTTAGGAAGAATCAAGTTGATAAATAAATAATTGCGCGGATAATCAGATATTTTTGGCGCGTATATTATTTTTTAACGACAGTAACGCCTTTTTTTTTAAACAAGAGTAAGGCGTTGCTGCGCGAGGCCTTACTCACGTTAACAATAAGTAAAAGTTTTGATTTCTCGTGTTTAGGATGGCCTCGCTGGGCGAGGCCATCCTAAACACGAGAAATCAGTTTATTTATTTATTAAAAAAATATCAACTTGATTCTTTTTTAAGCAACTATTTATTTATTAAAAAAATATCAACTTGATTCTTCTTCGTATGTGATAATAGCGAACAAAAAAAAAAAAATGCAAATCAAATATTCGAAGCTATTTAAGCTCTTCTGTTTAACGGCTATAAATTATTTTTTTAAAGAGTGAAAAAATTAAAAAAAAAACTAATAGATCAGGCGAAAATTTCATTTTATTTTTCAAAACTAAAAAAAAAATATATATCTAAAAAGAAGAAACAAGAACAAATTAAATGAAAGAATTTAAAACAAAATTCAAAAGTAACGTAACTAAAATAAAATTAATAAAAAAAAGTTAAATAAAAAAGGTAAAAAATGAATAGGCTAGTCACCGAATCTTAGTCAGAAGGAGCAGATTTCGTTTGGTCATGCAATTTGTAAAAATTAATATGAATGCAACTTTTCTTAAGAGGAAAAATAAAGATGTAAGCATCGAAAAATATTTCCTTGGAATCTTAGACGTTAAATCAACAACGGAAAAAAATCTAACTGATTTTCTTTTACAAGAGTTAGATGAAATTGAATTGCAAATCAGGGACTGAAGGGGACACTGATATGACAACGGTTCCAACATAAAAAGTATCCACGCAGCAAAATGATTATCTAAATCTATGATAACTTTTGGTGTTGTGCAAAGAACTTATGTACTTTTTTCTTTGTCAAAAATACAATGGCAAATTTTCATTCAACACGTACTAAATCTGGCTGTAAAAAATGTCCTGTGACATTCGTTGGGAAAATAAACTCGAAAGCGTAAAAGCGCTTCGATATCAAATTAAGGGTGTTCATACTGCATTTGGTGAACCAGTTAAGTTCACTGAGAAAAAAAACTTCAAAGGCAGATCCAGTTTATTCAGAAATTTAGATTTAGGTTTTGTGGCGGCAACATTGTTAGCAAGAGAACTTAGCGAAACTCTTGGTGTAGAGCCAAGTTTCAAAGAAGCCAGGCAGAGATAGAAAAGAAGGTTTGAGTACGAGGGAGATTCTATGGCAGGATCCGCCAAACAATTGTTTAAAGTGGAATATTTTTTTGTTATTGCAGAAGGTTTGAACAAATAACTAATTACAATACTATGTTTGGTTTTTTGTATCATGTAAAAAAACTAAAAATAATAAACGAAAATAAACTATTTTAAAGGTGTAAAGACCTAGAATCGTTCCTCAGTTAGGAAGAAGAAAAGAATGTTTGTGGAAATGACCTTTTTTCTGAACTTAAGGTTTTTCGAGAACTTTTACTGGCTGAGGTGAATACAGCTGCAAGGAATTTGAGATTTATTTACCATATTCAAAATTCATTTCCAAATGCATTTATAACGTAACTCTGACAAGCGCAGAAGAATTTTTTCTCGCTTGAAACTTATCAAGACATAATTAAGTTCGTCCATGGGTGAAGAAAGGCTATCAATTGTGACATCTAAGTTTTCATTCTTTTGACACAATTTTAAAAATTATCTAACCCTGGACAATTGTTTTTACAGTAATAATAACACCGTGTTTTTTTATTATAAAAATTTGCCAGTATTCTATTATAAAATTAATATCTATTATTTTACAGTATGAACACTTATTATATAACATCGACGTAACTATGAGCACCCTTTATATCGATTGCTGAAAACATAATTTGTAGAAATAAGATTACTATTTTGTAAAAATATGTTATATTATTCAATAATAAGAAAAAAAGGAAAAATTTATTTGTTATTCTTATTCATTTATTTCTTGTCAGACAAAAGTTATTATTTATTTTACATTATTTGGTCTTTAACAACTTTAAGAATAAACTTTATTGTTATAACTCTAAACTATTTTATAAAGTAATCAGCCCTGTTTATAAACCTACACAAAAATAACAACTCAAAATTATATCAACCCGAAATTTTTGTTTTGCACTTATACAACCTCTTTTTAGACAGTAAGAGAAAAGTTTTTCATCGTCAAAACGCCTACAATAATGACTTTTAAGAAGGTCTCGCAAAAATGATTTGCTCCAGGCCTCGCATTTTCTAAGGACGGCTCTGATCCTGAATATATATGAAATTTTTTTCGGAAATTTTAAATAACCGAAAGCATCGATGTTTATGTCTCCAATGACATATAAAGTTTTATTTTTCTTTATTTATTTTTTCAATTTTTTTTTTTTGATAAAAGTTTCAAATAAATTGATGCGTTTATCGTCCACTTGGTTGACGATAAACGCATTCAGCTGCTTAGTTGGTTTCTTTTTTTTATGTTTTTTTTTTTTACAATGCTAAACAACCTTTCCAATTCAGCATTACTGTGAGTAATATATTATCTAAGGTATCTGAAAAGATTTTTGATGATATGGAGTTAACCTTTGCTTCACTACAGAATCGATATTTTTTGGTACCTTATCTTATAAATGATTATACCAAATACTTTTATTAAACGTTTCAAATTGCTACAAAAATTCGAAAATTCAAAAATGAAGTAGTCCCTATCATTCAATAATAATCATTTAAATTATTAATCAATGAGAGTTTAATCAACTTAACACGGTGTGCAGGTTACCCTCGGGTAATATGCTCACCATGTTAAGATTAATTTGGTCTTATATTGTTGATTTGTCGCCATTTTTTAAAAATTCGGATTTGATTTATAATATAAACAAACCCATGTTTATAGCTTAAAAAAAGTGATATTTATAATATAAATAAATCATAAAACCGGCACCAACATATTATGTTGGTGCCGGTTTTATGATCTACCTTGTGCACTTTATATTCATTAGTTCTTGATGTAACGACAACCTTTTTAAGAATTTATGCGGTTATTGTTTTGAGCTAAAACATTGAGAGTAAATTTGAATTTTTTTTTTAAAAAACCGTGGATTTGAGACCATTGGATTCGTTATCAAACCGTAAGTCTCACGGTAAAACGTAGAGAGTTGGAAAGTCTGCTAGTCTTCTTCGATTATTTGTAATTCAATAACTTTGAATTACATCAAAATGTAAATTATTATAATTATATGAAATATTGCTACATAAAAATTGTAATATTTTCGTTGACATTGGAAATATGAATTGCATTGGAAAATTAAGAGTAAAACAATCTTTCCAACGATACCAAATAAATTACATTTTGCTTACTTTTCAAACGAAATATCAAATATAAAATTAGTACAGTTTTTTAGTTAAAAAAAAAAAAGTCTGGTAAGCTTTAGTGATATTGAGTAATTTTCCACTACGTATAATTCTCCCCTACGTTTAATATTATTGTCATTAACTATTCTAATTTTATAATTTAAACTTTTAATCATAAAATAAAAAAAAGGAATCGAACCTTAACATTCTAGTTAGGAGCCAAATAACTTTCCATTATTTTACTCATCTTCTTTTGAAGATCACACTACAAAGTTAATGCAGTTAAACTTACAATACAAAATAAAATACAAAACGCGTTTAAAATTAAATGTGTTTTGTTGTTAGAACGAGGTAATACATTAAATTACGTTTTATTTTAAAAGTATTTACTAGAAACGGATGTTAGCACGCGTTTGTTATCAAAAACAACAATGCTGCTATTATAGATGGTAATAAACAAAAAATTTCGTTAATTTTAATGGATTATCGAAATCATCGAAAGTTTGAAGAGAGGTAAATCTAATTTACTATAATTTACTTAAACGATGAACATTACATAATAAAATAGATAAATTATGAAAATTAAATAATAAAATATAGATAAAGAGTTTACAACTTGTGTCAATACAATTTTTACATCACAGAAGTGTCTGAAAATTATTGTAAATCACTATTTTAAAACACATATTGTCAGTATGTCAGTAAAATCAGTATTACTGATTTTACCAGTGCTATGTACATACTTGTGTTATGTATAATTAGTGAAATTAGTTTTCAAAAAATAATTTGCAGCAAAACAGTATTTAGCATATTATTGTTATCAAAAATATTTCAGAGTAAGTGGATAAGCTTCTTTTTATAACAAAATTAACAATGACTTCAATGAAGTTAATTAATGAATATATATATATATATATATATATATATATATATATATATATATATATATATATATATATATATGAACAGAGAAAATTATGACAAGTAATAAAGTTTAAACGAGTGATAAAGACCTAAAAAAAAAAAAAATATACAAGAGGAAATCTAAAGTGAAGTTACAACAAAAATAATATTAAGCAACAGAACACTACTGTCATGCGGGGTGACTCCAGACAATTCTGGAAGAAAATTTAAACTGTTTCATTAAAATCAATACAAAATGTAAATATTTTTGTGGAACATACCACTGTAATTATAAAGAACACAAAGAAATTTTAACTTTCAGCTTTCCAATATGTTATTAGCATAAAAAAATGGTTTAAAAATCAAAAAATCAAAATCGGGAAATGGGGTGACTCCGGACACTTGAAGTTTGAGAATTTAAAAGTTGAAATTTCAACATCAAGAGTTTTAAAATGAATGTATAACTATGTAATAAAGCTGCTTAATTAAAGTTTTTTAATTTTTAATAAAGCAATTAATTTTTTATTTCAAATAACAAAACAAAAAACAACAAATATTAATAAACTACTTCAAATATACATATAATTAATGATACAACTACAATGATTTCTTATGAAGAATCAATTACTAATCTTTCTTATTTTGTTTAAATTATTGACAACTGTAAAAGTAAATCATATACAAATCATTGTTGAAAAATTTTTTAACAATGATTTGTAAAACTTTTTAAAAAATTCAAATAAATCTATTGTTTTGGCATACAATGCAATCAGTCGACATGGCATTTTCCAAACACTTTGCATGATATCAACGACCACAACGTTCACAACCAGTCTAATCAATTAAAACCACAGGTGAAATAAAAATCAGTTCTTAATATCTTATATCAATATCTTCAACAACATTTAAAACTGCCACAGATGCAATGTTCAACTTATTGCCCCTGGGTTTTTTTGTTTCACATGTACCATGATGAGACATTAACAAAGTTGTAACCGAATCGATTAAAATGGATGCTGTTGATGCACCAGGTTCCTTGTATTCAGGAATTCTTTTTAAAACCTTTAAAAGGTTTATTGGATAAAGCCTGCATGTAATAAAGCCAGAAACCAAATTCTGACACACTGTGTCTTGCACTTTATTGATAAACTTTTTAATAGAGCTGGAAAATGTTCTTTGGGAAAGCATTCAGTTTTTCTGCTTTGTTTTTTCTACTCATATAATACATGTTTCCATTTTTCTACTCATATAATACCTGTAAATTTAAACTGTTTGACCCATTTCGATTTTTGAGGAAATCAAAATCCATCATTCTGACTTCTAATCTTCCAATAGGAAAGCCCCAATTGGCAATAGCTTCTAGCATTTGAGCAATGAGTAACTCATCTGCTTTGCTTATAATTGTCTGGCTTCCAACCTTCTTTAAGGTGGGTTTTTTAATGTGATCATGCAATGTTGATTTTTTAACTTTATGCTTATCAGCAGCTTTTCGAATACTCATGCCTTTATATTAATCTTCTATAGCTGTTTTTATTTATTCTTTAAAGCTTGTTCCATACAACACTTTTAAGTTTAGTTTACATTTTTAGTTTCACGCCATCACTAAAAGAAACTGAAGTAGAATAATAAGTAATGCTCTGTGCGGAGTCACCCCGCTGTCCGCAGTCACCCTGGTTGACGGTATACTTTCACTGGTTAAAAGATCCTAGTATAATGAACATATCTAAATAACATATCTAGTAAACTATGAATGTAAAAAATTTTTAAATATGAAGCAGAAAAGTATTGTTAGCACTATGTATCAAATACAATATGGAAAATACAATAAGTGCAAAAATTTAAAAACTTTCTTACTAAAAAAGATTAAAAACCAAATATTATAAAAATAAAATGGATATAATGAAAGTAGTAAAGCCATGTGGAATTTGCTGATACATCAGATAAAAGTAAATGTTTATGGAAAAGTATTGAATTTAAAGATAAAAGTAATAAGTACAATGAGTTCCTCATCAAAAGTATTATTGACTTCCAAAATACAATTACAAGTGATAGAAAATATAAAGTTAAAAATCATATTAGACTAGACAAAAATAATAAGGGTTTAATAATTTCAAAAATAAGTTTATAAGTTCAAAAATATATCTCAAGAAACGTTTCAATCAGCTTGTATTGAGAAATGCAAGAAGAAAAAAAACGTGTATCTATTTTAAAAAAAATATATACTTTAATTAAAAACTAACTTATGAAATTGTTTAATCTATTGCTGCGTACTTTATTTATTTATTCTTTTCAACACCCAAATTATGGGTAAAAAAAAAAAAGTGTATAAAACTAATAGTTTATATTATACCATTATTTGAAGTTTGATTTAATTTTTTTTTTGTAGTCATTAATTTTAAAGAAGGAATGTAGATAAATTGTGCTACACTTTGATATGCTGAAGAGGAGTTTTTAATACTGATCTTCTGACAGTGTCTAGTTTATTAAAAATTGTATTGTTATAATTACAAATTTCTAGGCTGTATGATAGTATTGGTACAGCCAAAGATTTAAACAAATGTACTATAGTTAATGGCTGACACAAACGAATTCCAGATTTTACTAGAGCTCTGGAGACTGATTGAAATTAAATAATGTATTTGCTGTTTGGAGAGTTTTTATATGATCTTGATCCCTTAGCAATCCAATACGTTTTAGTTTATTATTGAAATGTAGACAGAAACCGTTAGTTTGAATTTTTACCTGAAAAAATAAACTTGGTTTATTCAGTTTTTAGTTTGATATAAAGGTTTTTGCATTGTTCTTGTACTTTATTAACTAATTCTTGTAGCCCAGAAAGAATAGAACTTTGTAGGATTATACCATCTGTATAAGCAATAATGCCTGTGTGTATGCCACTTAATGTTGTTCCAATTTTGCCATCTGAAACAATTTTACTTAATATATATATTTTTTAAATATTTTCATGTCCATCTAGGTTGCAAGCAACCACTATTAGAGTTTGAAGTTAATGGAAGAGAAAAGATGAATTTTATAAAACAAGAAAACAATTAACTGACAACTTGAAAGATTGCAAATTATATGAATCAGGAAAACAAGATAAAGGGAGCGAATTCAAAAGAACTAATGTTTGAGGAAAAAAACTAGACAAATAAGAATTTTCGGAGCACTTAAGAACAGTCACAGTAAATGTATGAGAATTAATTGTTGTTAAAAAAATAATAAATTTTAGTAAATAGCACTAGAAGTGCTAACTCTTTAGAGCATTGCCTATCATACAGGCTTGGTCAGGAAGGCGTGTGATCGCACGCCATTATATGACCACGCAAATAATACTTTATTTTGACGATTTGACCACGGTTTTTAACATTTTAAAAATGCGCTGAAAAAAATTATTTTTAATTACGTCAAAAATAAATAACTTTAAAACTTTTATCTTTACTAAAAAAAAAAAAAAAAAGCGTCATTTAAAAGTTTCCTCATTAAGTTTTTTCGAAAAATACCACTAATACGCAATGAAGTTTTTTATAAAAACAAAAGTGTTAATTTACATTTTTTTGTCGATTATTACAATTATTATTATTATTTTTTTAATGTTAATATAATTTTAAATGGTGCGGTAACAAAGCAAATGCGACACTACTACTTATTTTAGTTATTTATTACTAAGCTATTTTTATTTTATTTTTCATTATTTTTTTAAGAAGATTATATTTCTTTTTTTTAAATAAGTTTTTTTTTAGTTTTTTTATAATTAAGATGCTAGTTTTGCAATGGATTTGGTATATGGTTTCCAAGAAAAAGTTAATTTTAGATGATTATAGGTAGACAACTCATCGAAAACATTATCGTTCATAAATATAGGATGATCTGAATTATTGCGATAATGCTTAGCTGAGTTTTATTTGAGTTAAAGTTCACCAGCCACTGAGAACCCCATGCTGTAGTAGAAGTGAGATCCTTTTCAAGCTGAAAATGCCCCCTCCTAGCAATCAGAGAGTGTTGGCTTCTTATCTAGACAATACTTAATGGTAGTATCATCAGCAAACAATGCCACCTTTGATGTGAGAATTTCTGGGACATCCTTAACATAAATT